CTAAGAAATGCTAGAGAAAAAAATTTAATATTGATAAGGAAACATAACCTTATTGCTCCTCAATCTCCAAAAACTGATAAAATTATCTTCAGAAAGCATTGCCAGGGTATTCTTTTATTTGAATTATATACAATGGTTAATTTGGGGCATGGCCTACTCTGATTTATTAAGTAAAGTGTGGTAGTTGAAAGCTCATGTCATACTCCCTGGATTTGAATCTTGGCTCTGCTAAGATTGGGCAACTTATTTAAATTCCCTAAGACTCACTGGTGTGGGGGATAATAAAAGTACTAGTCTTACAGAGTTGGAGATTTAATGAGATAATGTACGTAACATACCTTGCTCACAATGAGTATTCAAGAAATAATAACTATCATTTTATTTTTTGGCTTTTTAAAAGTAACTAACAAAATTCAACATTATATCTTGGCTTAACTTAGTGGCCTGAATAAAATCAGCTGACATATCTACATGCCTTTAGTATAAAGTGAGTAAACTCAGTAAGGTAAGAAAGATAAAGAAGTTGAGCTTTGAAGGATTACTGAACTGTCACAAAGAGAACAGACCTAAAGGAAATAATTAATTTCTGAAGAAGAAAACTAGGTGTCACTTTGGAGAAAAACTGAGAAAAAGACACACCAATAAATAAGTAATGGGAGTTGGAACTAACCTTTATTTACTGAACACCTACTACTGGCCTAAGTTTTAAATGTTTAATTGCAACTAATCCTTAGAATTTGGGAAGATGTATATATAACCTTCAAATTATAAAAAAAAGAAACTGAAGCTCAGAAATAACTTGTCCTGTATTACTTGGCTAATGAAGCCATAGCTGGGATGGAAACCAGGTTACTTTGGTCCCATATGTTATTTCCAGTATACTGCAATGTCTGCCTGAACTTAATGTTTTTTGTTTTTAAAGTTTATTTTGAGAGAGAGAGCATGAACGGGGGAGGGAGGGAGGGAGGGAGAGAGAGAGAGGGAGGGAGGGAGGGAGGGAGAGAGACAGAATTCCAAGCAGGCTCTGTGCTGCCAGAATAGAAACCAAAGAGGGGCTCGAACTCACTAACTGTGGGCTCATGACATGAGATGTAATCAATAATTGGTCACTTAAACAACTGAGCCACCTAGGTGTCCCTCAACTTAATGTTTTTAACCAATACTTTCTGCGGTATTGGTTCCTATGCTAAACTGAGAATGAAGTTGAGTTTAGGAAGAGAGGATTCTTGTAACTCCTGGAGATAATACTTTTGCTAAGATTAAATGTTAGGAAACCCAGAATGAGAAAAATCTAATGTTTATTTATTTTTTTGGGGAGGGGGGGAAGGGCAGAGAGAGAGAGAGAGAGACAGAGACAGAACCAGAAGCAGGATCCAGGGTCTGAGCTGTCAGCAAAGAGCCTGATGTGGGTCTCCAACTCAGGAACTGTGAGATCATGACCTGGGCCTAAATCAGATACTCAACCGACTGAGCCACCCAAGCGCCACCAGAATGAGAAAAATCTAGAAAGATCCTTTGATTTCAGTCAGTCTTACCAAAAAAAGAAAATCAAAGTTAAGGAACACACAAGGGGCATACAAGATTTGATATAAAGGTTCCAGTTTAATCACTTACGTCTATTTGTTCTAAACAAATCTGAAATTTTGTGGCATTGTCAAATTAGCTCTTTATTCCAAACAAGCAGAAAATTGATATCTCAATGATCTAGTCCCTAGTGCTTTTCAATAAAAGATTTAATAATATTCAAGTAAATACCAAGAATTGTAAGGAAATTGGTAATTTTCAGTTGCCTCAATTAGTCAATTAGCTTGAACTTCAAATATCCCAACAATGTTATTTCAAAGGAAACGTAATGCCTTTTTGAAAGTCTTGATAAGTAGAACTACTAGGTATTCTGAAGTTTGATAAATTAGGTTGAGAGGTAAATTAGCAATCCACAGCTAATATTATAATAACACAGAATAGTGCTATCAATGATTAACTGAAATGTTAAATAGCTCTATACCATCAATTTGCCATAGACCTAACACTGATAATAGGGAGCGAAACATGCAAAATGACATATACAGATATATTCACTTCCAATATCTCCCTCAGTCCTTTGAGTTTGAAAACAAGGTTCCAGGGGTGCCTGTGTGACTCAGTCAGTTACACTGTCCAGCTCTTGATTTTGGCTCACGTCATGATCTCAGTTTTGGGAGTTCCAGCCAGGTCAGACTCTATCCTGACCATGCATTCTCCCTCTCTACCCCTCCCCAGCATGTGCACTCTCTCTCCCTCTCTGTCTCAAAATAAATAAACTTAAAAATAAAATAAAATAAAAGTCCCAGAAGAAAGGCTATTAATGTCAAAGCTAAGTGATTTAATGAGTCCCTAATCATGGACTTTAAAATTGGTTTCAGTATGGGGTCTCAATAGGAAAATAACAGTTTACTGACCTGCTTGCTGATGCCTGTGCTGAAAAATACTTTTCTCCATAAAAAGGACATAGGAAGTAACCAAAGAAAGTTTATATGACACTATTTTCAAAAGGTATTGACTATATCAGTACATTTCAAAGGATGTCAGCTTTTTCCACACTAGGCTCAGAAATGTCCTTTCACAATTCTTTGCAAAAGGATGGCTATAGTATCTGGCCAAGAGGCTAGGATCAATCTGTAATAGTACCCACTCATTTTTGCCCAAAGAAATGTAGAGGTGACCCCTGAATAAAGCAGGTGTTGGGCTGCTGACACCGACTTCCCTCCCGCCCCTAGTTGAAAATGCACATGTAACTTGTGACTCCCCCAAAACTTTACTAATAACCCCTTTTGACTGGAAGCCTTACTGATAACATAATTAACACATATTTTGTATGTTGTATGTATTATATACTGTATTCTTACAATAAAATAAGCTAGAGAAAACAAAATGTTATTAAGAAAATCTTAAGGAAAATACACTTATAGTATTATACTGTAAAAAATTCATGTCTGAGTGGACCTGTACAATTCAAACCTGTGTTATTTAAGAGTCAATAGTATTGTGGACCCACTCACTATACAAGTATTTATATGTTCCTCCTCAGAGACTGAAAATTAGTACTAATACCTCTGCATATGGTAGTTTCAGATACTGTAATTACATTTCAGTTTAACAGAGCAAGCATGGAAAATTTTTTTTTTCTGTAAGAGGCCAGATAACATTTTAGGTTTTCTGAGCCACATGATCTCAGCAGGTACTCAACTATGTCCTTTTGCACGGAAGACAATATACAAATGAGTGAGCATGCCTGTGTTCTAATAAAACTTTATAAAAAAATAAATACATTTGGTGGCAATGGTCATAGCAATGCTTATAGTTTACCCACCTCTGTATTGCCAATATAAAAGCCAATGGAACCATATCATAAAAAAGGCAGCCTGGTTAAATAAGTTATTTTGTGTATATGTGTTTTCCTCTATGTAAGTCTGTACCTGCTATAAAAAGTCCAGTAACAAACTTATCTAAACTTCTTCTGTATGAATCAGTTAATGATCAGTCAATAAGAACTGTAATGCTTCAATTCTGATGTGACTATTGAAACATGTTTCCAAACTGATCGATAAATGCTTCAAAAGGTGTTAAATTTGACAGTGCTGGAGGGCAATGTAGTCTAATAAAAGAAATTAGCAGCCAGAGCAATGCAATTGCACCAAAGAACCCACAATGGGAACACTAAATGCTTTCAAGTTATGTTTAGGCAATAAGAAAGAACGCTGATGGAGAAGTAAAATTTAAGTGTATTATAAAATGCAGGCCTAGTAGAAGTTTTTATCCTCCTAATGATTTTTTTTTAAGTTTTATGATATCTCCTTTTCAAAAAAATACTATAAATTATTATTTTATTTTGTAATTCAGGTTGGTATTCCCATGCTGTTTACCCTTTACTGTAAATATTTAGGGTATTGTCAATTAGCATACTATTTTTATATGACTGAGATATTCAGCATTTAAGATAGAAAGAAAAAATCTAAGGCTACAGTTCTCAGAGCTCAAGTGGGCATACATTGAGAAAGGAAAGGTGACATCTTAATTTACTACCAACCTTTTATATTACTACAAAGTTTGTAGAGATTTTTCTTCAACTTAAGACAAAGGTTTCTTTGACCTACTGAGAAGTTTCAAAATGTTCCCTTCAGGGATTTCTTGTTATTTTGCATATGTCAGCATTAAAAAGAAAAAAGGAGAAGCAACAGGTTACAATTTGCTGATCTACTGATCTCAGCAATAGATTAAAGCACTGCTTGACAGTCCTGAAAATTAGGTTTTAGTCAAGTTGGCCATTAATTGTTTATTTGGTGGTAAGGGAAGCAGTTCCTCCAGCTTGATGGACCTTGGTTTCCTCATCTGTAGAGTGAGGAGAACCTGCTTGACTAGATACTCTAAAAGGCCTCTTCCAGCTCTATTATTCTAAGACAGCTAAGATGTCAAGCCACCTACTATCAAGACACCGTGTCTCACATTTGAGCTAAGGAAAAGTGTGGCAAGGATTTAACTGTTTCGGCCCTCAACCCATTTGTGGTCCTCGCTCAAGGAACAAGGGTGTTTCTTCCCTGATCTGCTTTCTCCAACTCTTCCCTACTCGGGACAGGGAAAGGCTTTCCCACTGCCGCAATAACCCCAATTCTCCCCCTCACCCGGGTGTTTACCTACAGTCACCCTGCCTTGCCTTAAGGCTCAAGCAGGCACCGACTCCCCACAGCCCCTCGAATTCTCTCAGCCCCTATCGGATGGGAGTCACCAGAGCCAGAGAGGAGCGCGCGTCTCCCCTCCGGGGTGGTCTCCTCTGTCCCGACTTTGGCCTCAACGCTCCCCCAAGAAGCAACTGTTCGGGCGCATTTCACCAAAGAACTTCCCCGATGACAGCCGGCTCTTCAGCAAGCTCAGCGGTTCCCGCCGCTTCCCCTCTGTTCCTCCCACCCCCCACTCCCCGCTCCCTCCCGAGGGGTGATTTTGAAAAACTAGGGAACAAGGCCTACCTGCACCGGCCAAGCCCTCAATCTGGGGAAAATGGGCGAGAAAACGGAGACCCTTTCCTAAATCCACTCAACTTGAGGCAGGAGGGGGTTCTCCTCCCCTGGCCAGGAAGAGACAACAGCCTCGGCCGCGGGGACCGGCGGGGGATGGAGTTCTGAGCGCGCTGAGCCAGGCGCCGCTGCCAAACCTCCCGCCCCTGAGGACTACAACTCCCAGAGGCCTCTGCGAGAGCCAACGCGCCTTTCGCCGCAGAGCCCAGCCCCACTCCCGGCTTTAGGAGGTGGGGCGGTCAAGATACGCAAATCTCGTTTCCTCTGCTGCCTGCTGTTGGTTCCTGTGTGGGATGCTTCCCTGACGTTTAAAGGCATCGAGGACGAGGAACGCCATCTCCTGCAGTCTTTACACTTCCAGAGGTCACATAGGAAAGGGCTGACCTCCCATTATCAGTCTCTTTTCACAGGCCCTTCTGGCTAGTGTTCTGTACTGTCGTCACGTGCTTGAATCCCACGGACAACAAGGAAAACTGGTTTGAAAAATGTTGGGGTGGCACTCTCACTCTCATGTCTGGACACTTAGGTTTTTGTTGTTGTTTGCGTTTGTTTTCTTTTATTATTTTAATGCGTTGACGAATTTGTCTCCATGCTAAAAGAGGGGCTTTGGAGGTATATTTTAGTACCGTCTCCGCATCCCTACTAGTTTCTCCCAAAGCCACCTCAAATAAACCTATAATCTAAGTAAAATGAGTGTGCATGTTGTAACATGTCAGCCCAATCAAAGTCCCCTGGAAAGCATATAGCATCACCTATGCCATTACATAGGAAGCCAGTAGCGTCTTTTTCTCTTTTAAGAAAACAACCATAAAAACAAAAACAATAAAAAACCCACAAATGCATTGTAATGTGATAATCCAAAGTAACAAATCCAAATTTAAAAGCTGATATTGAATGCCAAGCATTTTACATATAATACCTCTTTAAATCTCCACCATGATTCTAGAAATGTATATTATCCCTATTTTACAAACATGGGAACAACCCTATAGAATTTAAGTAACTAACCCAAGGCCAAGCAACTATTAAATGGCAGAAGAGTCAGACTTAAAACCTGATGCTCTAAAAGTCTTATTCCAAAACCTGATTTCTCGAACACCACCAAACAGTGCCTGTATTATTGAGGGCTTGACAACAAGGCAGACGATGTAAGAAGTACTGCCTCTAAGGCAGATAAAAGTTATTTTGCTAATGGTGTTCTTATTAAAAATCTTTTTGCAATTACCCTTTAGCCTGCCTTCAAATAAGCAGAACATTCTTTTGATAATTTCAGTGATAGCAAAATTCTCTTCTTTCTTTGCATTCCAGGTCTAGAAGATAATTTTGACAAGACTGAAAAGCACAAAAGTGAATGGTACTGAGTGACATGAATGAAAATAGCAGATTAGGGAACTTGAACATGTTCCCTCTGTTAAAGAAGTACATAAGCTGGCAAGACTGCCAGAATCAACTTTTTTTTGGGACTCTGGCATCTAATAAAAAATGTAAAACAACTAGGGAAACATTTTAGAAAAGACTGCTGAGTTTTGGCAAGAGAGGTCTATGATCATCTCTTACTGTCCACCTTGAGGTCGCCCTGAAGACAGCAGCCTACATTCCTGCTAGTTGCTAGTACCTGAGGGAGCAATAGGGATCTTCTTCTCAAGGAATTGTAATTGTGCATTTTGACCTATCTTGTGGTTCCCTGAAGGTTTGGCTCAAGGGCTTGCCTTTGTTTTGCCTGCCTTGCAATCTCTGGAGAACTGAAGCAACCCCCCACCCCCACCCCAGGCCATGTGAGTTTGTCTGAAAGTCTTTAAAGCAAATGTTTTAGTCACCAAGTTTACTAAATAGTTAGGTCCAAACAAATTAATATGCATTTATGTCCTAACAACTCAGTAGCCATTTAAAAATACATACATAAATTGAAAGAAAAATATTTTATTTCATTCTTAAATAGCTTTAATTGCTTACTAGTGGGATGTATACATCTATTGGGCACTGTATAACTTCTTGAAATCAGATAAGATACCACTATCCTTGTTTCCTGTTTCACATTGGATTTTTTAAAGAAAATGTTTATTTATTTGTCTTTGAGAGGAAAAGAGAGAGTGGTAGTAGAGGCATGGTGGAGGGGCAGAGAGAGAATCCCAAGCAGGCTCCCCACTGTCAGCAGAGTCCTTCATGGGGCTTGATCCTAAAAACCGTGAGATCATGATCTGAGCTGGAATCAAGAGTTGTACTCACATTAGATTTTGCACAATGCTTGGTTGAGATCATAGCAACCACTGAAAACTCAACTTGGCAGATACAATGTTATCCAAAAAAATTAACTTGATCTAATGTTGAAACTGAATTATCTCGGGGTGCCTGGGTGGCTCAGTCGGTTGAGCGTCCGACTTCGGCTCAGGTCACGATCTCGCGGTCTGTGAGTTCGAGCCCTGCGTAGGGCTCTGGGCTGATGGCTCAGAGCCTGGAGCCTGCTTCCGATTCTGTGTCTGCCTCTCTCTCTGCCCCTCCCCCGTTCATGCTCTGTCTCTCTCTGTCTCAAAAATAAATAAACGTTAAAAAAAAAAACTAAAAAAAAAAAAAAGAAACTGAATTATCTCAAGGTGCTACTTCACATGGTATCTGACAGATGTCTCTCTGTTTTCCTTAAAAATTTAAAATACTGTGCTCTGTGGCGTCCTGTGGGTTCCCTGTAGTATTCTCACTGGCTGGGAACTGCAGTTCTTAGACATTATTTTTCTGCTCTACAACGATTGTCAAACTTCTTCTATAAAGGGCCCATTAGTAAGTATTTTGGGCTTTGTGACCATATGGTCTCTGTCAACAATGATTCAATTCTGTCTTTATGGCACAAATAGAGACAACATAAATGATATGTAAACAAATGGAGTGGCTGTATTCTAATTTATAGAAACAGGTACTGGGCTGGATTTGTCTCCAGGACCATAGTTTCCTGACAATTGGCCTAGAGGATCCAGAGTGGAGATGTTTGTGTATTAATTGGAATTCTTCTAAGGAGAAGAATTTTTCTCCATGATTTGATTACCCCAAGGTAAAATGTGTTTGGGAAATGTAGTATAAATACTTGCATCTTTCTTTTTACCAGTTTCCAAAATGAGTTGGTTGCCTAGCATCTTGCAAAGTTGACCAATGAGGTTTTTTTCGTTTTATTTTTTATCACTAAAAATATATTTGATGAGGGGTGCGTGGCTGGCTCAGTCAGTTAGGGATCTGACTTCAGCTCAGGTCATGATCTCACGGTCTGTGAGTTCGAGCCCTGCGTTAGGCTCTGTGCTAACAGCTCAGAGCCTGGAACCTGCTTAAGATTCTGTGTCTCCCTCTCTCTCTGCCCTTCCCCCACTCACTCTCTGTCTCTCTCTCTCTCTCAAAAATAAACATTAAAAAATTTTTAAAAATACATATATTTGATGTGTTTCAATCCTTTGAAGATATATATACATATTAAATTTCAAGTTTACAAAAAAATTGCAAAGGTAGTGCCAAGAATTCCAATATATATTCTTTACTCAGAGTTATCAATTGTTAACATTTTGTCATATTTGTTTTATTCTTTCTCTTTCTCCTTCCATTTCCTTGCTTTCTCTCTTTCTCTGTACACGCACGTATTTCCCTAAACCATTTGAGATTAAATTGCACACCATATGCCTCTGCTCCTAAATTCTTTAGTATATATTTCCCAAAAAAAGGATTTTCACAGTATGATGATCAAAACTAGAACTTTAAAAAATTGACACAATGCTCTTATTTAAAAGTCTTATGAAAATTTCACCAATTGTTTCAATAATGTCTTTTATAAGATGCTTTGTTTTGATTTTTGTTTTGTTTTGTTTTTCCTCATCCAGAACCCAACACAGGATTGACCACACGTTGCATTTAGTCTTCATGTCTCTTTAAGATCCTTTAATCTGGAATGGGTCCTTAAGACTTTCTTTCCCTTTTATGACATTGATATTTTTGAAGAGTATAGGCCATTTAGTAAAATGTCCCTCATTTTGAATTTACCTAATGTTACTTCATGATTAGATTCAAGTTTTGCATTTTTGGTAGGAATAATACAGGAGTATTGTAGAGTCTTTCTCACTGCATCATATCATGAGGCACATGATATTCACTGATTATAAAGATTCTAATACCAATTCCAGAATGGGAATAGAGTTTCCCACACTATCAAGCAATTCTTAGACACCAACTGGGTGTCCTACCATTTAACTCAATTCTGATGCTATCTACCTGGACATTGAACCAGATTACAGGTTAATGGCTCAGTCCTACATGAATTCTCCCCCTCTCCTCCACTCAGACACCCCTTGAAACTACAGATTGTTCCTTGTACTTGTGACCAACTGGCTAAAAATCAGAGGTTCCCATGACTCTCTCCTCGGGTTTGACTAATTTGCTAGAGTGATTCAGAGAACTCAGAGGAACATTTTACTTAGTAGATTACTGGTTTATTATAAAAGGCTATAACTCAGGAGCAGCCAGTTGGGAAGAGATGCCCATGGGGAAAGGGTATGGAATTTCCATGCCCTGTCTATGTGCACCACTCTCCTCAAATTCCCATGTGCTTATTATCTACCTGGAAGTTCTCTGAACTCCATCCTTTTGAGTTCTTAAGTAGGCTTCATATTACACAGACAGTATTGATTAAATCATTGGCCCCTGGTGATTGAACTCAGCCTTTAGCCCCTCTCTTCTTGCCAGAGGTGGAGAGTGAAGGGACTGAACATTTCAACCCTCTAAATACATGGTTGGCTCCACTGGCAACCAATCCCATACTTGAGAGTAGCCCAAAAGTTACTTCATTAACACAACAAAAGATATCTTTATCACTCTCATCACTTAAGAAATTTCAAAGTTTTAGCTCTGTGACAGAAAGGGGTCAAAGACCAAATATATATTTCTTAGTATAAATCGCAGTATCACACGGGCATATTGGTCATCATTGATACCTAGTCTCCAAGCTCTTTAGTGAACCATGTCTCCGGTTTTCATGGCTTCATACAGTT